CTAGCATTGTGTTGGATAGATATCTGAGGTTTAACTCTTCTTTTTGGAAGAGTATGCGGGACTCTTTAGGGTCGAAGCTGAAGTTGAGTTCGGCATATCATCCACAGACAGATGGTCAGACGGAAAGGACTATTCAGTCGCTAGAAGATTTGCTGAGGGCTTGTGTTCTTGTGCATGAAGGTACCTGGGATAGTTTTCTTACATTGATTGATTTAACCTACAATAATAGTTTCCTTTATAGTATTGGTATGGCACCTTTCGAGGCATTATATGGTCGGAGGTGTAAAACAACTTTGTGTTGTTATGAATCGAGTGAGTGTGTGGTGCTCGGACCCGAGATGGTGAGAGAGACTACGGAGAAGGTAATGGTAATCCTATATAGGATGAAAGCTTCACAGAGTAGGCAAAAGAGTTACCATGATAAGAGGAGAGTGGATCTTGAGTTTCAAGATGGAGACCATGTATTCTTGATAGTATCACCGATAACCGGTGTAGGTCGTGCTCTAAAGTCAAAGAAGTTGACTTCGCGGTTTATGGGTCCGTATCAGATTTCAGAAAAGGTAGGGATTGTTGCGTATAGAGTGGCCTTACCACCTAATCTGTCGAATTTGCATGATATGTTCTATGTGTCGTAACTCCAGAAGTATATTTCATATTCGTCGCATGTAATTCCGATAGATGATGTGCAAGTGCGGGACAATCTTACTGTTGAGATTGTACCTGCGAGGGTCGAGGATTGCGAAATAAAGAAGTTAAGAGGCGAAGAGATCACCCTTGTGAAAGTAATATGGGGGGAGTTGTCGGGAAGAATTCCACGTGGGAGCTAGAGAGCAAGATGTGGGAGGCTTATCCAGAGTTATTTGCTTTAGGTAATTTTCATGGACGAAAATATTCTAATTGGGGGAGAGTTGTAACACCCCGATTTAATTATAATTATTTTTAATAAAACAACAATACAATGCGGTGAAATTATGTGAGTTGATTGATTTTATGATATGGTGTGATGCCTTGTTAGGGACTAGATACCTTAGAATTATAGAGGTTGAGGTTATGGGGGTGTTTGGCTAATTATGTAGAAGCATATGGGTGTGTAGAATAATATGGATTATTACTATTATGATATTATTAGGATAATAATTATTATTTTATAATAATAATTAAATAATTATTTATTGGGATATATTAGAGTAAGAATAATGGAAAAGAGTCTGTACGTAGAAACAGAGAAAGAGAAGCGTAGAAGAGAGAAGAAGAGAAGAGCACTAGGAAGCTAGGGGAAGAGATTTTACCGTAGAAATCAAGAATCAATCAAGAATCTAAGGTAAATGGGGATTCTAACTCTATAAGGGTTTTCCTAATGATGGGGTATGGTAGAATTTAGGTTGTATAATCGTATGTCTTGATTTCTCCATAATTGGTTGTTTTTGGGGTTTTTCCCGTTGATGGATTTTTGGTGAATTTGGTGTGTTTTTATGTGATTGAATGATATGAATTGGTTAGGATTGGTAGATAAATGTTGATGAATGATGAACCTATTAAAAAGATGAATTTTGATGTAAAAATTATGATTTTTGGGTGTTGAAACATGGAGGGTCGTAACATGGAAATTACAAGATTTTTCACTGTTATCGCAGGATAACTGGTTACCCAAATATGGTAACCGGATACCATATCAATGGTTGGAACAAGGATTAGCTATTGTCCTGCGGTAACCAGTTATCATAAGTGGGTAACCGGTTATCGTGATGAGTTTTGAAAACAAACGAGGCTATTGTCATGCGGTAACCGGTTACCATAACTGGGTAACCAATTACCACTGTTAGTGACATCATTTTAGAAAACTTCTAAAACTCCTAACTTTTGCCTCGAGTGTCCGTTTGACGTACCGTTTGGACCATTGGAAAGATAAAATAATTTCCTATCTTATAAAAATGATTTATAATGCAGTAGTTAATTATTTCATTAACATTGCTACTGATCCATAAATGTGTTTTGATTTGTATGCCATGAATTATGTTGTGGTTATTTGCGACGATTGTTTTGATGGTGTGATACGAGATACGTGACGAAGGCGTTGACGAAGGCCTGTATTGGCGAAATTGTGATGAGTATTAATGATAAATGTGAAGTATATTGTTGCATGATAGCGTCTCATGAATTTATAAAGCAAAGGTCTGTATTAGCGAGCGAATGCCTGTATTGGCGAGCGAAGATGATTGCCCTAAATTGACATTATTGCGAACAGGGTTCTACCCTGATTGGTACCACATGCATTACATCAGTGTCAGTCTTTTGCATCATATTATGATTGATAATTCGATTGGGCGAATATTGATGAAAGTGTGTATTATATTACGATATGTTATGTGCTTATGTGCTTGAATCTTACATGCTTATTATTATTATGATTTCTCTTATATTGATATGATATCTCACTCTTTTTGTTTGAGTGTTACCTTCACGTAGGTAATATGCAGATGACATGAAGTAGCTAGAGATCGAAGGTTAGCTGAGGAGTTCCTTCAATTGCGTAGATTGAGTCGGTGTCTGCTCTGATACGTAACACTTTAGGGTTTCGCGTGATTTGTATGTTATGATTACGAGTGAACATGTATTACTCTTTTATTTGAATTTTTTTATGATTATGCTGATGTGTGAAGGATAATAATTATAACTCCGATTTGAGGATCGAGATGACTAATTAATTGATGTTTTTCCGCTGCGAATAAATGCATTGAAGTTTAAGACTTATAAGCATGCAAATTGTGTTGCATATCCTAAATTGAGCATGTATGATTGGCGAAGTATGTGACATCCTATTTGATTTATGTTTATTTAAAAATTAATTTACTCTGATTATTATATAAATTATCGACGAGGAAATTGGGTGTTACACCTCACATCATCCACCTTTTTGAACCTCACAAATCCAAACCTCTTCTCTACCTTATTTCTTTTCGGGAGAATCACCACCTCCACAATCTCACCTATATACTCAAACAACTCAAAAATGTCTACCGTCTTTACTCTATCCGGTATTTCAGAAAAGTAAATAGATGAAAAACACGACTCCTTTCCAACCTTCCCTCTACTATTAGACGGAAAAGAATCCCAACTTAGACTTAAATTCCTGAAATTCCTTCTGTTCACTTTTTGCCAATTCATCTTGAAAATGGACCTAAGATCAAGAAAACTAAACTATTAAGAAAAAAGAAGAGATAATTAGGAGTCTCTCTCACTAAAAAAACATTTTTTGACAACTCTTCTATAAGTGGGATAGGAGGTAAGTCTAATGACTGTTTTAGTTTGATTTAAATTGTAGGGTGAGATTAGGGAGAAATATAGCTTTTTAGAAGACTAGATGGGCTGGAAACCAAGATCTAGAGGAAGCTTTTCCAGAGTTATACTCTAAATCAACCAAGCAAGAAAGGTCTATAGCAGAGTTGGGAAAGTGGCCCGAGGAAGTTTGGTCATGGCATTTGGAGTGAAATACAGAGTTGAGTTCAAAATTGTAGCTTCAAATAGAAGACATGATAATGGTGATAGTTGATGCAAGTCCTAGGAAAGATGTCACTTATAAATTTGAGTAGAAGCCTGATATTGATAACATTTTCTCTATCAAATCATACTACAAGTATGCAAATATTTTAAGAAACAGAGTCCAGTATAACATATTGGAAGATGGAGAAGGAATTGCTCTAGAAGGTCTGTGGAAGTCTAATGTTCCTCGAGAAATTAAGTTTTTGGTTGGAGACTAATGCAAGAGAGATTACGTAGCCGATGACTTAGTGTGTGTATTTTGTACTCAAAGGGTGGAAACATTAAATTACCTTATGTTTCAATGTCAGAAAAGTTTGGAGATATAGCTTGTAGTGGAAACATGGGGAGGGGTAAAAGTAGCAGATAATAGATGTGGTTGGGAAAACTTTAATCATCATAGGATGACGGTTGAAACGAAAATTTAGAAAGAATAAGGAAGGATTTATTTGGTTGGCAACCACATTTGTTTGAAAAGAAACAATATTATTTTTAGAGTCATTCAATCTAGAAGACATTGTTTATTCAATCAAATTGTCGGTATGAATATGGAGTATCGTAGGATCCAATTCAAAATTTAAGAATTTGTTTAGCACGAAACTTTTTGAGCTTATAACTTATAGTTTATAAGTTCACATGACAATAAAAGACTTGTTTAGTGACAATTTTTTCATCACGAGTTTATAACTTATTTTACTAGTCTATAGCTTATTTTTTAAATGTTATTTCAAATAGCGTTTTAACGTATAACTTATAACTTATTATTTTTTCTTCCATTTTTACTCTTATTATTTGATCTAAAACTTACGACTATCCTTTATAATTTATTTTATTTTAAAATAAAATAATTATATATTAAATATCTTTTATATTATTTTAATTTATCAATTAATTGAATTGTTAATTTTACCAAACACTTCAACTAATTTGTCAGTTATAAATCATCAATCATCAGTCATCAGTCATTAACCATCCGTTATTAACCATCAATTGTAAATTATAAGTATCAACTAACTTATCACTCAACTGCTGTTTTGATCAAATAAAACCTAAATGTAATTTCTATGACTTTTATAGCTTTTGTCGTTGCTTAATCATTTTTATTGTTGTTATGTTGTTTTCCCTTGTAATTACTTTAACAGCCTTGTATTCTTTTTTTTCAATAAATTTGCCTATAAAGAAATTATCTTGGAATGGTGGTTAGTTATAGTGATACTTCACAGCATCGACAAGTGTCCAAACATAGTGCCCCACCATTCCAAATACAAGACAACTCTGGTCAATAGCACCTATACCTAGTCTAATAATATACTACACTCTAACTTAGTATTGTGTCACTAATTAATCATTATTTTTTTAAACAATGTGTGGCTGATTAATATGTGTTGCAGGCTATTTCGATGCCAGATCGGCAAGAGGAAGCAACAAATTACATTAAAAAGTTACAGATAAATTAGGAGAAAATGAAGGAAAAGAAGTTTCTACTAGAAACTCAAAGGCCAAATGTGAATATGAAAAGAAGCAAGAAGTTGATGTTAAAATCTCCAAAAATTGAGATCCAACAAATAGGTTTAACCTTAGAGGTTGTTCTAATAACTGGATTGGATTCTCAGTTTATGTTCAATGAAACCATTAGAATTCTCAATGAAGAAGGAGTTGATATTGTTAATGCTAGCTATAAAGTCAATGAAGATACTGTTTTCCATTCAATACATTGTCAGGTTAATAAATAATAAATGCTAAATGACTTTATTTAATTTCTAGGTACAAGAATTTGGCAGTGAAGCTGCAAGAATATCTCAGAGATTGAACAAGTTTATGTATGATTATTTTATTAGCGTCATTAGCCTAAGCCCTAATGCATTTCTTTGATTTCATTAACCTATTACAAATATATAATTCTATAAAAATGTGTGCATTAATTTTGTAATATTTATCTATAGTAAATTATTTTTACACTAACATTGAATTGTAACAATTAGATTTTAAATTATATTTGATTTTCTTAATTATATATAAAGTGATAATTATGAATGATTGTGATAGATTGATGGTGTAAAAAATTTTATATTGACGATGCATAACTATTAATCCCTTAACTATATATCTTAGGTATTTCGGCTGATCCCTTTCTCGAATCAAAGGCTCATGACACCATTTATTGGAGGAGTTCAACACCACTTATCTTATTCAATGTGGGATTATTTTCTCAATTACTCACACTTGCATTATTATTCTAACACTCTCTCTCAAGTGTGAGTCCACAACTCTCTCACATACACTTGTACCGTCATTGACATCTTCCAACGAGACACATTTTCTTGGCCATTTCGATACTAAGTCGATCCCTTTCTCGAACTAAAAGCCCATGATACCATTTGTTGGCGGAGTTACTAGAAGCATTGATACAAAGTTGAGGACTAGGCACCTTTGTGAGAGACACACTACTTGTCCACCTAAAATCTTAAGGTGATAGGTGAATGGATTCTCCCACTTTTATATATATATATATATATATATATATATATATATATATATATATATATATATATATATATATATATATATATATATATATATATATATATATATATATATATATATATATATATATATATATATATATATATATATTCAAGTCTTTATGTTCCTATCTAATGTGAAACTATTTTTTCATTTACTCACACTTGCATTATTATTCTAACATATCTATGTCGGTGTTTAGATTCTGCTTTTAAATTTTATATAGAAGAAGTGGAAAAAAAATATGAATTGAAATGTTTTGAATTATGTATATTATATTAATAATCTGGAAAACTTGTGTTTCATGCTTCTTCTGATATCAATAAAGAATATATGTAGGAGCATGAAAAGAAACTTAAGGAATAAAAGTAATAATGAGCAGCAATGAATCAAATTAAGACCGGTGTGCCAATCCACTTGCAATTTAACAACTTAGAGACATTTTTCCACTATTGTTAAATTTGATCGATTTGAAAAATTGTTTAGTTTTAATTAAAAAATAAAAATAAATAGAACACACCACCTTTTATAATGAATGAAACACAAAATTACAGTCATTGAGATTCAAAATGTGTCCCTCAGAAACTTTTTCCAACTATCGGTACCTTTGATCGAGGGGAAAAGTGGTTTAAATAAATATTAAAATTTAAAAAAACGCCCAAGGGAATAAATTTTATCTCGGTAGAATAATTGACTGAAATAAAAGTTTGTTACGAACAATGAGCGTTCAATTTCTCATTGATATCTTTAGTTGAGAGTGATTGTATCCTTTTGTTGTGAGAATTCTTCCATGGAGGTTGAATTTGCAATCCTCCACACTATTGACACATTTCCTCTAATTTTTCTGATTACAAATCAAGTCACCCTTCATACATGGTTTAGTTAGATATGCAAGATTGATTTTCTCCATTGGAGCTAGGGATCGTGCGAGATTATTTTTGGGTGAACTTGGTGTCTTCTCCTTCATAACCATGGTTGTTGTTGTTTCTATCGAGCTATTATGGATCAGACACCATCCGTTGTAATCCGGCAGAGGTGGCAATTTGGCCCATACCCCCTAGTTGAACACCATAAGCAATGATGACGACTATGTTCTTCAAGCTTGGTAACCCTATTCCGTATCCCTAGTAGATTTTCCCCTTAGTTTACAAAGTAATTTATTTTGTTGACACATTTTTTTTAAATGAGGAATTATGATCAAATTTTTACAATAATAAGAATTAGGCATAAAATAACATTTAGGCATGTTATGGTTAGGGGTTCTATTTGGGCTACAATTTTTTTTAAATTAAGCGTTAGTTTTAGGGTTATAGCCTAATTAACCTTTATTATAGGTCCATATATGATTATCTAAGATGATATTCAAGTTATCTCTTCACTTGGTAAATTTACCAACAATGTTATGTAAATCTTCAATTTTATTTTTTAAACGTTTGCATTATACACACTTGATAGAGTTATCAATAAAATATCATAATGAGTAGAATGAGTCTTTAATTAAAGTACTTATTTTTATTTAAGAATTTCTATTTCCTCGATTAGATTTTTGTTTTTGTTTTCAAGAAAGAAAATTGTCTTTTTAGAGATGGAAAAAATATTTTGTTTAATATATTAGATTCATCACATAATTCTTAACGGATGGTAAAGAGGTCATCATAAGTAAATACATATTTGAAGTTATTTAGTTTATTTTTGTGTTTTTTCATGAGAAATATGTTACTTCCTCTGTTCCATAATGAGTGATCCAGTAGGTCATTTCACATAGATTAAGAAACATATATAATTGTAAGAGAGAGAATAATACTTTTACTAAATTACCCCTTATCCAGTATTGGAAATTGTGAAAGTAATATTAACTAGAGGGTAGAAGTGGAAAAATTAATTAATATTACATTGGAAATTGAAATGGATCATTCATTTTGGGATAATTTATTATTCTAAATGAGTTATTCATTATGGGACGGAGGGAGTAGTTTCTTTCTCTTTTTCATATTCATATGAGTCCATGTCACTTTTGTTCAATGCAATCTAAGTTTTTTTATTCATTTTGTGGTATCTTGTACCCTTCGTGTTTCCTTTGGTTATGCATATAAATTGACTTTATGTGACCTTTCTTTCTATACTAGAAGCAAGTTGCAACAAAGACCGATCATTCTTCGCTTTTGTGATGATAGTTTTAAGGTTTTTTTTTTGGCCTTTTGAACTTTTTGAGTTTGCACACTAGAAGATTTATATCTTTATCACATTCATTCTAAAAGGTTTCTTTTTCTAATTCCTTATCTTTGAACTCTTCAAATTTTAATGCAAGTCCTTTCTTTTTCTTATCGTCTTCTTTGCTTTCAACAAAACTGTTTATTTTAATCTCATGATCATGTAGTTTATCAAATATAGTAGGAAAATCCAAATTAGACAAGTATTAAGATTCATAAATCCCGACGACTTTAGGTTGTCAACTGTGATTCAAGCATCTAAGAACTTTATGAACTAAATCCTCATTTTGAAAAGGTTTTCTTTGTGTTCTTAAGTATTTTACTATATGAATGAAACGTTTTTCCATATCATAGATATTTTCTTCATGTTTCATTTTAGATAATTCATACTCATGGGTTAATATGTTCATCCTAGTTTTATTACCTCGATTATACGTTCATGGATAACTTGAATTATGCACCACATTTCTTCAGTAATATTATAACGTGACACATGAAAAAATTCATCCATACCTAAAGCGGTGGTGATAATAGTTTTATCTTTCAAACTTTATTGCTCTTTTTCTTTATCTTCTTTAGTCCATAAATTTTTAGTTTTGTTTTCCGCTACATCATGAACTTGATGAGTGGGAACAAAAGGATCATTTTGAATAACATCCTAAATATCACAATCCATACATTCATTGAAAAAATCATTTTCTTTTTCTAGTAAGCATATCATTCACCATTGAGAGATATGAGTTAGTTTAATGAATCTTTTGAAGTTATTTTCCTTTTGAGATTATTAGTCTATACAAAAGAGTTAGGATTTAATGTCACTTGTTGACCAAATGACTTAAAATACACGAGGGATTTTGATTTAAAAAGTTTTCGAAAGCTTTAAGATTTAAAATCATTTTCGAGTTAATTTTGAGAAGATGGCAGAAGAAAAAATAAGGTGACAAATAAATAATTACTATAAAGTAAAGAGATAAGGAATAGTAAGGACCATCCCGTATTTATCCTAGTTTGTTCGAAAACCGTGAGGCCTGCGTCTAGTTCCCAAGGATAAAACATTGATATTTTCCACTATAAATAGAGTTTTTATCATGTGTTCAACTCATCTTACACCAAACTTTTATCTGGAGTTCAATAAAACATTAGTCTCTTGGTTTTACAATGTATATCAGAAGAAGACAATGTGTTTTTCATATATCTTGTGTGTTTTCAAACGACCACAAGACCTCTTTTTATAGTAGAAAAATATGAAAAAAAAAAATTTTAGAAAATCCTACAACCAATTCATAATCAATTATGATCTTTCAAGTTAGGAAAGTTTTAACTTAAAATGTACCATAACCGATTACACTCTAATCATAATTGATTATTACACATTACATACCTTATAATCAATTATACAAAGAAATTAAGGGATTAGATAGTTAGTAACATTTCATATTCAATTATTTTTTACCCATTATCGATTATGCTTTGGTAAAAAATGGTTTTTAACTTTTTCCAAAGAATTTTTGGGGAAAATATGAAGTTTGAAAAAAATATTTTGGGAGTGTGTTTATATTTTTTTTTTTGTATTTAGAGATTATTTTTAAACTTTGCTCCTAAAATAATATTAAAATTTTGAGCTTTGGATCAGTTTGTAAAATTATCAATCCAAGCGGCATATATAATGTGACAGTTTTAAAACAACTTCTAAAGTATAGTTGCGACTATTGTAACCCCTATCAAATTTAGTTAACTTTTTGATTTTGAAGGTTTGTTGTGGCAGTTCAAACCGCCTCCATTACTTTTCAACGAATTTTATAAGTTTTGTAATGGTTTAAAGTGATGCTAAATATTTGTTTTATATTTTTAACAAAAATTTTAACTGTCAATAAACCAACACTACTACAAAAAACATATTTGATCTCAGACGCGAAGAGAATTTAACATCAGTTACATGGGCGAGGTAACAAACGGCGTCATGAAAACTTGTCACTTTACCCCCCTCAATTTCTGAATAATTGAGGGGATAGTTGAAATGGTCATTGATTCGATTCTCAACAACATCATTTTTATATTTTCAAAACTAGTGCCACATACCTCTCAGTTTCTGTCCAAAAACCAAGGGGAAAAGATATACTTTTTAATAAAAACAAATTA